ATCACGGATTTGTTTTCTTTTCTGTGTTCTGATTTTGTTCCGAATGAATGTACCCTTGGGAATTTCGAGAGTCGATGTGAATCGGTGAGCTTGAAAAAGTGAAGATGATGAGCGTAACTGCGACGTTTTTGGTTGAACTTTATCTTGCCACAAAGCGGATTCAGGTCGCATGGAGAAAACAAAAAAAAACAACAACAAACAAATATATGACAATTTCGTGCATAACTCATCATTTTTATTCTAGATGAAACACATCAGATGAATAGCGTGAGGTGCTTGTCGCATACATGATGAAACCCTTTCCTTCAATGTAGCGTGGCGCATACGCGCATACCACGGCACTAAGTATGCGGGTTTGAGCCACAGGTGATTGACAGTTAGTACCACCTCAGGAACACGGATAAGAACTTTCAAGACTTTTATGTGATCGCCTGATGCAGATTGTGCCATAGAAAATGTGACGCAGGCATCGGTAGTGTGGTTGTTGAGGGAAAAATCAGAGGGACGAAAAGATTGAAGATCGTGATCGCAGCCGAAGTAGAACCCAGACATGTTGCATCTGATGCGATTGGGGCGCTAATCCTAATGTACACTAGCACTGAGTAAGCTCATGTGGAGGATGCACCACTGGCACATTCTGTGTTAGCGCAGAGTACGCCTGTGCTTGCAACTGCCCACGCAAAGGCCCTACAGTGATGGCCCATCGTAACAACGTCAGCTGTGGTGACAGTGATCAATATGAGCTTTCGTTACTATCTTAGAAACATTCCCTTATACATGATATGACTCCTTCTAGACCCGGAGGAACACGACAGATGGCGCTTCTCTCGATATGCGCATCACTGCACAACCACATGCAGTTCTCTTCAATAAAACTAATATCGCTGCTCTAGCGTCAGTATAATCGCCAAGTCTGGCCATTTCGTCTTCGATATAGAAACAACAAGGCGACCCTTGAGAATTTTCTTTCGCGAAATAAGTACCATTCTTAAAATAGGTGTTTTCCTCAAAATGTTTAGGTATTCGGCAATCGCCTCTCGCCGTTTCCAAGAGACATATTTTTCATGGGCTTGCGCACGGCATACCCATGGCATGTTCATAACCGCGGATAATGCACAGAAAGTGGGGTACAACCCACAACGCTTGCCCCAAAGCCAAATAAAGGGCAGTACTAGCCTACTGCTTCACAAGAGCTCAACTCCTGGAATGAGTGGGATCTTTCGTTTTGTTTCTTTTGTTGTTGTTGTTGTTGCAGCTTCACGATCGTGAAGCAGGAAGCATTGCATACCATGTGCTAGCGCAGTGATTCACTCGGCTCTCACGCGCTTGGTGAGGTGGCGGTGTCTTGTTTTGAGTGGCAATATATTCAGCCGGAAGTTGCCAAAGTGTCTTTTTTGTTATTTTAGGTTGATGATTGTTTTTATTACTTGATAAATTCTCTAGTGTACAATAATTAAGAGCTTTTTTGCGTCTTTTTCATTGGTTTTAGTTATTGTTAACTTTGTTTTAGGTATGTATAGATCGCTCCAGAAAACTGTCACAAGAGACAGTAGTTGAACGTCAAGCCATATTCCTCAAGCATTACGCACCAAAACGTAATTCAGCAGCGACAAATTTATTGCACTGTTGGTGCTTATGGCATTCCTTATGTGGAAAATAAGAAGGTTATTCGGCGACGTGACGTTTTTTTTTTCTCCAGGTTGGGGTGGGTGGGTATAGAGGCATATATTATTCACAGCGTCTTTGACCAATAGCACTGGCACAAGTTTGTTTCGAGGGGCTTGTAATTGTAGTGTAAAGAAATATTGGGCTCCGTATTTTATGGAAGAAGGAAATTTCGAGGGGACACAGACCCGGTATGTTACCTCATGGCGAAGCCACGGGCTGCTCTCCAAATCATAAGCCTCCAACTTCTGCCATGTGATAACGTTTTTCTTTAAAATTCTCATTGTAAAACTTGCTTTACCGCAAAGTTTTCCGCAACACCTATAACGTCTAGGTACTGCGACATAGCTTGAAATAGTTCATCTCTCACCAGTTATATGTATTGTGCCTAGTTGGCAGCCCAAGGCGCCCAAACGCAAATATACTTAGCTTGTGTTGCTACGTTACTGAAGAACAAGAAGTGGAACTGAGACAAACAAGCGAGATGCACCTGAGAAGCAATCCCATCAAAATCTCGATAAGAACCAGCACATAATTGATCCAAGTAAAAAAAGGTATAGAGAACGTTAACTAGATTGCTGGAAGTGGGTTAAAGTTCTTGTTTTATAGAGGTGTGAAGAGTAAGGCAGCTGAATAGACAACTTCTGTAGTCAGGCACCGAAGAAGCCACCTTCAGATTTTGCACCCGATTAAGCACTGGCTACCGGTTGAGCAATGGCGGTGGTCATCTCCTGGTCTATTTTATAGTGTTTTATGTGCCTGCAAAGTCTCAGCGCTGCTTTTAACCATGGCGACCACTGTGGCATTCTTTTTTCGCCAATTGGCGCAAGGTAGCTCGTGAACTATAAACTCAACAGCGTAGCTGTTTAGACGAGTTGAGACATGTCATACATCTTCTCGTCTACCTCCTCTTTTTCATGGGTTGCCTAGTGTCTGCGCTCGCTTATTTTACGTCCATTATTGTTCCTAATTAACATTGCACCCAAACGTCGCTTCCTTAAAAACAAGTTTGTCATTACCTCTCCTTTAATAACGTCGGGAAACATCTCATCTCTACCGGCTCCACATGGTATAATACGTCAATCTAGTACTCAATAAATTATCTGTTCCATTTAAGTACCTGCTTGCATCTGCATCATTACAGAGTTGGTATATCCTCACGCCAAATCAACCATTTTTTTCAATTTATTTATCTTTCATACATGAATAGGTTGGAATCACCTTCCCGATCAGCCGTCAAGATTACTGATTATTCTAAGTTTATGGCTGTTGTGATCATTATCTGTTGTCATAAAGGTATTATTTTTGTGGGGCCATAGTATTTTCGTTTTTGAGTAGTGCTATCTCTTTGGTTTTTGTCTTTCTGAACACGCCAATATTTTGTCATGCTGCTGGAACCCGGCATTTTCGGTTCGTAGGCACGTGCTTGTGGTATGAGTGTTATTTAGTTCGCGTTGATTGCTTGTTGTAAGAGATCCTTCTGTGCTTTGCATTCCGATATGATTGATATATAGTGTTTAACGTCCAGAAATTATCATACAATGAAAAGAGACGCCGTAGTGGAGGGTTCCGGAAATTTTGACCCTCTGGGGTTGTTCAACGTGCACCCAAATCTGAGCACACGGGACTACAACATTCTTGCCTCTATCGAAAATGCGGCCGCCACAGCAGGTACTCACTTTCGCAAGCTGTTGGTCAGCAGCTGAGTACCATAGTCACTTGACCAACACGGTGGATGTGCTTTGCATTCTTAATTACCTTTTTTTTTGTTATACTGTACTCTGTCATTGCCAATTTTCTTTGCATATATCTATGTAACTCGCCCAATATATTTTTTTGTTTTTTAAATGATGTCATAATAAAAACGTTATGCGCTTCTCTTTGTAATGCCGGTACACCCTGAGGGTACAGAAATAAATGAACAAATAAAGAAATGGATAAGTAAATAAATAACTGAGAAACAACCTATAACGAGCATGCAGCTGACCAATACATCCTTGCATAGCTCATAAACATATGCAGTCTTCTGGAATGAGACTTTCCTTATGAATAACTGAATAAACCAAAGATGAGAGGTGTGAGGGCTTGTTTGGTCGAGCATCATGTGCGTAATCTGAAAATAGCTGCTTGTGTTCCCACAAGTGGCAAGTTCTTTTTTCGTCCGCCTTACGTTGGTGCAATGTGTGTTGCACTATGTTTAGTTCACCTCAAATAGTACATTACCGTCCAGTAGGCACTTATCACACACAACTGTTAATTCATCACGAGCTGAAAATTAAGAAGGGTGATTGTGTCAACATGCATAAAAAACCTAGCCCTCCGTTGTAATCCTACATTAACTCATTCATTCGCAATAAGGCTCTTGTAATGGTAATATTGGTGGCATCCGATGGTATTTAAAGACTTATTGGTCAGCTGCCAAATTAACATCTCATGTACTCTACGTCATTATCTGCTGGTTTTCAGTAGAGTATGCCAGAGAGAAAACGAGCCAATGTTGTTGACTTGCATCCTGCATTGTGTGATGGTAACTTTTTAATGACATGCACGACTGTTTCGCGGTCCCTTTGACAAATATCAAGATTTTTCGTTCTTAGTTAAACCATATGCTTGAAGTAAGTTGCATAAAAGCATGGTCTATGAATCTGTGCATCTCATCAATCGTGTGCTACGGCTAACACACTACTGAAAGTGCTGTTTATTCAAACGTATTTCACTGGGCTGCACTTGTTACAAGGACGATGAATGATGGCAATTCCCATTGGTGTTTTTTTTTCTTATTGAACGGTCGGCGTGGCTGTTTTCACAGATTATAGAAGAATAGCGTGATTCGCTAATGCTGCTAAGAAGGGCGAGGTGCATTTGGCGGGTGTTTCATTGGCTCTTCCGCAGTGGTTGCCACTGGAAATCGCATACTCACTGGAGCGTAGAGCTATATACCTTAATTATACACACGCATGAGGCAAACAGCTAAGCTGTAAAAACAACTCAAATTGTAGGACACTCCTTCCAGTTAACGAATCACTCATAATAACGCGTGTCATGCAGCAAACATGAACTCGTTTCTAGCGAATGGTAATTTTATAGTACCACGCAAAATAAAACTGTATTCACCACTTATTTCGGATGTCCAAGGTTCACTTACCACTTTGTAGTGACTGCAACCTCGCAAATTAAGTGCAGCTGTCCTTAAAAAGTTTGTGATAGGGACTTTTTCGCTTCAGGGCCGGCTTTAAAACACGAGATCAATATAGAACAGTGGGAACTGACTTTTCTAACGTTTTTCTGAGTGTTTCAGAGATTATAAATACACTGAAAGAAGCGCGAAGTATAACGGCACCGCTTCGTTATACATGTTTTATTTATTGTTTTTTGTCTCGTTTTGGTCGTCGTATACTGGCAAATACGTGGTAGGCATTGCATCCATGTTGCCGCTGTCTCGTTGGGCAAGTTCAGGTCATGTACTGGCATTGCTTGAGTTGTCGCGCTATGTGTTTTGCATGTTTGATAGAAAAAACACATTTTAGTTACATCCACGTGATGTACTCAAAATCGCTTGACTAGAAAATTGCCAACTTAGTAAAAGCAAGTAATAACTTTCAATTACTCAGGCCATCAACGACGCTTAAGAATGCTTTAGTGAGACTCTCCCCTTAATAAGATTTACTTAAAAGCTGGCTCGTTTAGAAGTGCAAAAAAGAAAATAAGATGCTGTTTTAGCAAACGTAATTCTCTGAAGAAAAACATTTCTTATTTTTTTATTTTCTCGCTACTTGCCTATTGTGCATGTTGAATTAGGTAACAGGCTAGAAAATCCTGGCAATAAGGAAAGTTATAAATTGGTTTGTAAAACATATAAATGGGAACATTATAACTTGGTCTGGTAAGTAGTAGCGTTTCTCGGCTTTTTGCCCACGTTATCAAAAAGTACGTGAGGTGACCTCTTCCTTCTGGGATAGCAGTGCGCTTTTACGCTCGCAAAAAAACGATATTTTTCCCTCACGGCGTCTCATGACAGTAATACGCAGACGTAGTAGTTACCCATATGCTAATGCATTTCTCGTGCACAGAAGAAAGAGACAAGAAAAAAGCAAGTGAGCACTAACTCTAGACTATTTATGTTGAAAGGAAGTGTACATCTAAGTACGCGAGAACAAGCACGGAGCATCTACAGCGTAAGTCGTATGACACGCGAACAGAAGAGATTGGGCCAAACAGAACTTTAAAAAATGAACTTCTCATCTGTTAGAGCCACCAGTGTTTGTCTGATGCATTTTTCTGCATACCAATTTGTATTGACGGCTTCCGTAGGCTCACGTCTTAGTTTGTCTTTGTCTACAAACAAAATATCTGTATCACAAAACACGGTATTACAGTGTCACTACTTACAACAATCAGACAAGTTTTAAAAGTTTTTCTTTTCCTAGAGGGATAGCATGCTCATTTATTTGTATTAAAGCGGCCAGTCGGTCCTATGTACATATTTCAATAGGTTAGCGTTATGCGATACAACTTTACGGCAATTGGTGAACTTAAATTTTTTTAGGCAAGAGCTACATTTTCTTTCCTTTGTTTTGAACTTCCTGGCAACAATCCGTGAGAAAATTCATGAACTTATAACAGAACTACACAGTGCTTTTTTTTATCTTTCCTAACGGGGTTCCTAGAAGATGAAGCTCGGACGCCCTGCTATCTGTTTAACTATTGCTTAAATGTAGCACTTATGCGTGGACGTTAGCAAAACATGCTTCATCGCACAGCACCCATCCTCGTCACTGTCCAGTCGAGGCAGCAGCCGGGTAAGTTCTGTGGTCGTTTGCACGCGGAACCGTGGGAAACACTGCAATCGCGGCTCGCACAGACGAAACCTTTTAATGCCTCTTACTTTGGTGACTAGCAAAGTCTGGGCGTTAAACAGATGCTAGAGATCGTTACCCCGAAGTGTCTCCGCACTTGCACTAGCTTCACTTTAGGTTTTGTGCGCACACATAGCATGCGATGATACTGACCACTGCATTGAGCTCCACCCCTAATAAACCCTTAGGTGTGCTTAATATTCTTTAAACAAACGTCACCCAAATTTGAAGCAAGAAGAGCACATTTCTTGAAATCGCTGACCGAAAAACCAAAAGCTACAACACAGGGCACTTCGATACGCAGCCCGTGAGAACTGCGGCCGAATGTTTCACCTTCGCTGCTCAACCTTCTGTCCGAAATTCTTGAGAGGAAAAGTACTAACCAACGACACTTTCAGATGGCGTTGCCCAATAGCTCAAATGCTCAAGCATTTCACCACTGAAGTATGCCTATTACCTTCACCGAGAAAGTAAGGGTAGAGAGCCTTCACAAAGCGCCACCTTTACGTGTTGTATTAAGGCATTCATCTCTCAAACAGAACGTGAAGGTACGGTGGCATGCGGTGACGCTTCTTCGTCCGGCTCTCATTGCGGCAGGCAACTTAGTGAGGTGGCTTGCACGTGCATGCGTCCCTCCCTTCTTTAGCTTAGCCACAATCATTCATTGAAGAATGGAGACGCGTGCTTCGTGTTCCATCCTGATCGACCCTGTCTCAACGGGCACAGTCTTTCGCCTTAAATACTTTGAAATGTACAAATGGTCGTAATATTTTTTTATTTTATGAGCATATCCAGTAAGTCGAAAAACGCTACATGGAACGTTAGCATCTCCTGGAACGTTAGCATCTCCCTTACAGGGTGTTTTCGAAGCAGTCTACAACGATTTCGTTCGAGTTTCTTGCCAAACCTTGTTGAAAAAGTAAAGAAACAAATACTTGTGCTGTTAAGCAGAAAATAAAACAAATAGTATGAATTAGTATATGTAATATTTGTTAAACGTTCATTTGGTAGCGCCGTCATACGGCCAATAACGAGATTGTAATGATTGGCTGTATTACACGATCGAAACTATTAAAATGGCAATATGTCGCATTACGCCTTCTACACGGTTGTTACAATTTGTTATCTTTCAATGACAATGTCAGTTAAGAAACTGCAGATCTCTTGTTCACAACTGCTATCCTCTACGTTGAGGCAATATACAGAGTTCGTTTAGAGAGGGGGGGGGGGGGGGTGTCAAGAAAAGGACACCATTGCGCAATGTGAATGGATGTTTAAAAGCTCAGTTGGAGTAAGATGAAAAAAAAATGTTGTGATATACTTACGTCGACATTTACTCATGCATTCTTCGCACGATGCGAAAAATTCGCCGACAGTTGGGCAGTACCCTTCTTTCACACGAGAGCAACTCATGAAAGCACCATTATTGAACCACATGCCTTCGTAACCAGAGCAGCCTTTTTTCCTCCTCAGTCTTGCCGCGCAGCTTCCCCTTCCTGGATGTTTCGAAGCTGAAGTATAAACAAAACTGCTCAGTCACAAGTTGCCATCATCTCCGCTATCATTCTTATTCAAGTTGTAGCATGGGCCATGTAGTAGAGTGCTTTATGCCAGTTGTTTGTTGCACCTGCTGTGACAATTTATATCATTGCAGGCAGTCTTTTTTCATACCGTTTTGCCACGCTGCTTTTGCTGAGACAGTTATCGCCTCGGAGTAAACAATCGCTCAAAGACATGGCGCCCTCATTTAGACACGAAACTTCATTTGCCATTTCTGTGCGCAATAGGCAGGACGGAGGCTACGAAGTTTTAACTAATGTCAAATTGAGCACTCTTGTTGCTTAAAGTTCTATATTACAACTGGTTGAACGTGACGTCGGATATAACGAAATACTTAGGCGCATTTAACAAGGCATCGAGTGCTTAGCGTTTAGGTGAAAAAAAATTTAAAGAATGCTTGCTACCAGTAGATATATATTTTATGTATATCAGCGGTTCGGGGAATTGCATTTTTAAAGAAATAAATCATTACTCGTGGTCCAGCACCTGCATGATTATTATTGTTCAACACAAATTTAACGGGATAATTAGATCAACATTTATTCTATATTTCTCACTATTTCATATACTGTCGCTTAGTTTATAGCTTAACATTATGAAAACCTAAGGCATTCAGAAACAATGGTACGTTGTGTGTGTCACATAAGGTTAATGAGCTCTCTTAACAGAGGAGCTGCTATGCTATTTTTGTTCGGCCATTACGCGCTTCCACACACTATCATTGAGAACGGCATTGGCTTTTATCGTGCGTGCATCCCAGTAACACGGTAGGCGCTCTCCGCACCCTCATCGTGAACTTCTTCGATCACTGATCATACGCAGCGGGCAAGTGCTTCCAGATGGGTGAAAGAGCAAGTGCTGAGATCAAGAAATTAAATGAGAAATAGAAAGGAACAAAATTCTTAAAAAAAAGGGGTCTTCAGGTGGGATTGGAATGTTCGTATCCACGATCGAAAGGCGAGCATCGCAACAACTCAACTATTCAGGTACGTTATACAGATTGCAGCTTATAGCCTGATTTATACGTTGTACAGCTAGGGGGCGAGAGAGAGCAGTGAGAGAAATGTTGAGGAATCGAGAGAAGACTGTAAAGTATCACACAGAAAGAAAGCGGAACGTAGAGAGAGAGAGAAAGAAAGATATAGAAAGAATAAGGAATTGAGAAATAGCTAGACCGTGAAAGAAAGAAAAAGCTAGATTTATATATAATTGTGTGGAGAGAGAAAGATATAAATCTAAATGTACGGAGCAAAAAAAACATACACAAATGGACTGAGAGACAAACTGTAAGACCGAGATGAATAAAGAAAGGAAAAAAAATAATGGGAAACTGAAAGCACCCTCAAGCTCCACGCTGCTTATTTAGGCTTGGCACTACTAAGCAACCTTCGTTTTTTTTTTTTTGAATTTTTCAGTGCAAAAGTGGGGGGCAAGGGGCTGCTCAAAATCACTTTATTTCTTATGAGACAGGAAAGCCACTCAGAGGTTATTGAGTGGTATGCGTGCATTTATTTCTCTTCTAGATAATAGTAACAAACTTATGCCACCACAGTTGAAAAGAAACTGACACATAAATGTTTAAATACTTAGATTTTTCGTGAAATAAAGTGTGAAGCGCACAAGACTCTATAAAGTATACAGGTAGGCATGAGTGGACCCTGATAAAATAAAACAAACAATTTTGAAAGCTAGTTGTGCTTCCTACTTTTCCTTGACTGCACGATATGTCATCGTCTTTTTGGTACGTCCTCTTGTAAACCTTCAAGATGTTTCCACAGCTGCTCCGCTCTGTGACTCCGTTGGCGTCTCACAAGCGGCAATTTTATGTACATTGGTACCACACGTCATGAAAACTATCAGTGCGCGCCGTCGCCACAAATAATACGGTGTTCTGAGGTTGTGCCATTGTCGATGTCAGTAAATGTGTCATGTGAATCGTGCCTGTAAAACTAAAATTAGCTTTTCTCGAGCTTGACAACTGCATGGATCCGCCTTTTTTACAAGAGGTTTCTATGACCTAGTCCACTTACAAGATTGGTGCCAGAATGCTTTATTGCTATACTCACGAGGCTTTGGCGGACGAGGTCTCGGACGTGGTCTCGGCCGTGGCCATCTACCCCCTCCAGGTCGTTTCGCCACGGTCTCATTTTCTTCTTCAGGCCCTGTGCATATGTGTCGCATAAATAATGAACAAGTGTTTGGCTGAACTATGCGCCGTTTTTATTTCGCCTCTTTTGCTTCCAGCAGGTGCTCCCACTTACCCTTGGATGATGGCCGATTCTTTGGAGGACGAACTGGTCTTCCCGATGGCCTCCAAGGCTTTTGCGGCTGACCACCACCACCAGGTGGCCATTTCCCTTTTGGTGGCTTGGTTCCTGCGTGTTTGTGTCAGTTTTAGAATATTGCCACTTGTTTAAAAGCACGCTCCTTAAACTATGGACATTTCACAGGTAGAGCTCGTCCTCGTAGTTCTCGACTCACGTAACCACTTAGATGCAATGTCGTTGTTTTCGTGGTTGCTACATCAACACATTGCTATCCCCGGCAGTGAAGTTAGTGCTATTTTTGATTTGTGACATCGGTCAACTCTGTACGGCCATTTTTTCGTTTTTAAGCGTGCGAACGTTAAATGTGGCAAGTGTAGTCAGACAGGCTGGATTATTATTTACATGTCCACAAATACAGCAACAGAAGTAATGTATTTCTTGGCTAAAACATTGTAGTGAGGTGTTGCTGGGACTGGGCTGTATCTAGTCTGATTTTTTTTATCTAAAAAATCGTCATGAACCTAAAAATCCATATAAATACGCCATAGGTACATCATTAAAATATTTATAGTCTTTGTGTATTTAGAGATACTTTGCTCAAAATTCATTGCGCCAGCACGTCCTTTTGATACCTTCCATAGGTGCAATGAAGCAGCATTGCGTGGTGAGCACTGCGTTATGCATAAATAAGCCACGTTGCTTGTTCTAACACAATTTTTTTTTTGAAATCTCACTTTCGATGTGCCGATATGTAAGAACAGATACATGGTGCTTCCCCCGAAATAAGCTAAGTAGAGAAAAATAACGTGAATATGTGGACACTCTGAACGTCAATCATATTTGGACCTGCTCGGATGTGCTTACACAACCACAGATAAACTAACGTAAACTTGCAAAAGTTTCCCTCTGGAGGGTTGCCGACGACTGCGGAAAAAATAATATTTCTTGGATTTTAACAATCGAAAACCAGGACATGATTATCAGAGAAGCTGTAGTGGAGAGTCACAGGTGTTTTTAGTACCTGGTGTTCTTTAACGCTTTGTAGATTCGCCTTTTTTTATGCGGTATTATAAAAACTAGCAATGGTATATTGATAATCGCTACAAAGTGTGTAGGAAACAATTTTTATTAGAATGAAACACTGCTTTAATTAAAACGTGGGACATTATAACGCACTGACTTTTCGAAAAGTGGGATAACGGTGTCGCACTTTGGCATGAAGGCACAATCTCCCGAGAAAGAGTGAGAATGAGGTCAAGTGAAAAGCAGGAAGGTTATCAAGAAGAAAATTTCTAGTTTGCTACCCTGCAGTGGGGAAGGGAATTAGGCATGATAAGGTAAGGCGGTTCTTTCCTTTTTCTCACTATCTCCCGATCGTGTCAACTGGTATTTGGGATTGATGGGCAAAACCATGTGGCACAGAGTATTATTTTTTAATTTGTGAAGAAGAAAACATTTTGAACCTCGCGTCAGCAGGACACCACCTGAAATTGTGTCTTTTATGAGCCTTCATGGCATTGTAGTGAGTTCCTGCGAAGTTCACTTCATCGCAGACATCAACCATTTATTTTCGTACATTTGGCTCTCCTTGTTTTTTATATCAATATCATCAAGTACAGATGTTGTCCCTGAACATTTGCCTACTTTCAAGAGGTACATAGTATTAGGAAAGCTTTAACACCCATTATTGCAAGCAATTGAACAGAAGAACGAGCGGAACAAGTGGGGCAATTACTTAGGGAATCGTCCAAATGATGGTATTAGTCAATTTATTGGGCAAATTTACAAAAAACGCGTCATAGCTGCCAGCTTAATTCCCCTCCTTAAAAACAGGAAAAGGGGAGCTTGTCCGCCATTTTGATTGACAGATTCCATCACAAGAAGAGGAAAATTCAGAAGCTATCATATAAGACTTTACCGATACTTAACGGCTTTTTCACGCTACATCCACCCTTGGAGAGCGTGGTAAAATAGTTTAACCACAATATCGTGAAGACTTTGCTGAGATGTGTGTAACCTGACGCTGTGTGTGGGATCGATGGGAGCGATGTGGGAGATAATTTTTTCCACAGATAGAAAAACTTAATGTGTGCCGCTCTCTTACAAAAGGAAACATGCACCTGAATTCAGGTAAGTGGGTCTCAACAATTTTCGCCTCCACTGAAAACGGCCCACCGGAGCAGGGATTTGTTCCCGGGACCTATGGGTCAGGAATCGAGCACCGTAATTGCTACACCACCGTGGGGGGGGGGGGGGGGGGGGGGGGTCAGGGACTTCAGGAAAATATCGCTGGTGATTGAAAGAATTGTTTTGTTTCTTTGTTTCTTAATAAATGATGTAGTTATGAATTCACGTGAGAAGTCGGTTATCGTGACTTGAATGCTCATCTTACGTCTCTCATAGTAATATTATGGTTTTGGGACGTTAAACTCCACATATGAATCAATTGAATGCGCATCTTGAATAAGCGGTCGGAAACGCCATGAATTATTAAGAAAGATTTTTTCTGCAGTGTTTCTATATTAAGTATTAGCTCCTTGACGCTTTTTTTGGAGCCCTACTTTTTTTTACCAGGGTAAAAGACCTGACGAACCTACTGCAAGAATACTGTATTCATGTCTCAGAGTTTCTAAATAAAGAATACCACTGCTCGTGGTAAAACTTCCACAAGCCACATGCGCTTGCGAAAGATCATCCCTTCATCTGTCACGGCAGTCTAGAGGCTGAGGGCACTCGGCTGCTGACCCCAAAGTCGTGAAATAGAATCCCAGCCACAGCGGCCGCACTTTCAATGAAGGCGAAAATGCTTGAAGCCCTTGCGCTTAGATAGATTGAACTGCACGATAAAAAACCCCGGGTGGTTGAAGTTTCTGGAGACCTCCACGACGGCGTCTTTCATTTTCATAGCTGGCTTTGGGACGTTGAAGCCTAACAATTATTATGAATTTTATTCTTTCCAACTTTTCATGCACCAATTTCGTCATGGTTTCTAAACGAAAAGCCACTTACAACTACATGTATTTTTTGACCTTCTAAATTATTATTCTTTTTGTACATCTACACAGATGCTTCCCTATCTGTGTACATTACGTACATTCTTCTGTAACTTCAAATTCAATAGGTGGGTCACATGACCACTTTTCATCCACAATCAGTTTATCTCCAGCCTGCGAGTTCTTGCAGAATAAGAAAAAGTGTTCATTTCCTCATGATGGATGCTGAGCACGAATGTTTACATAAGTGGCTTTACATGATGTGAGCAGTATGAAGTTTTTCGGAGCCTTTCATTTTTTACTGATTCTATGGTGCTGTTACAAGCTGACTCGAATTTTAAAAGTTTATTTCTAGCTGTTTGAGTTTCGCTGTTCCCTTACCGCCTCTTTGTGGTGGCCTTGAAGGAGGCAAGGGGACCTGCGGTGGCCCTTTTCCTGCGCCTGCAAATAAATAGCCAATTAGATTCTTTTAGATGACATGTGCTAAGATTGCGGTCTTTCACATGAACTGCGGCTTTCGTACATTAGAGCATTGCCTGAGAAATATTTCATGTACTATGGAAGTTGTGGTGGCATTACTATACTATGCGATTAGAAACGCGAATATGACATCTGCCCTTTGTTATGTTCTTGTTCTGCAGTACACACTCAACGTAGATCTCACCTTGCGTGTTGCCATTCGATTTCAGCCTGTTTAACAACCCCGTATAATTGACATGTGTATTGTGGTCAGGATAAACTAAGGACATCTTAGAAAGTCCATATGTCTGTTCTAAACACTGAAAACCTGTTCAAGCACGGATGCTTCTCTACAAAGATTTCAAGGTTAGACTTTTGTTGTTTCGTTCCAAACGTCCTCCGTATCTTTAAAACCTCTTGCTGAATGAGGTAACCATGGTTTCAACATTGTCGCTACTACAAAAAGTCGTGTAACTACTCACATAGCGAAAAACAAGAGTAATGTAATTGCCTAAGGTGTCGTCTAACCGTTTGTCAGTCATGCTACGGTATAAACCACTAGAAATCAGAGAACCCTTAGAAACCAGTTTGATTTTACCTTTACATTGAAGGCTTTCTTCGATCCTTGCCACGTGAAGGATTCTTGTGATGCGTTAATTACAATATATAATGCACAAGTGCAGAAAATGGTTATGAACAATAAGTGGGATATCTATTGACAAGCTTTTCAAGAAATCCTTTAAGTGTACCTAAGGTGGACGATGAATGATTCGAAAGGAGATATTTGTTTGCTTAAACTAAATCATTAGTTTGCATTGGATCCTTGCTATGTGCAGTTTACATGATATCTGGGAGTGGGCATACCTTTAGAATGCACACCAGGAGAAGATCCGCCGGCAGTATCTCGTAGGTAACTATATTAGAGCTGTATATAACATATAGGTGGTGTATGGTCCTGTAGCGGGAATAGACACACTATACATGGTGTTAGTTTTCTGTATTTGCATGCATAGTTTCGTGTGTACGCTGGATATGTTGTCCGGCAATGCCGATGCAGTAGGAGATTTCATGACAAATACAGTATTATTATTCAGCGATAAGGGTATCAATAAAGACCGCACTGAATGGATGGAGTATTCCTGAAAACTTACTCTTTCCTAGGTTTGAAGGGTGCTATAGTTATAGGCGCTGCTAGGGTGTCGCAATATTGCAAAGTGATTTGTTCTGCGGGTGTTATGCTTCGCAAACATTCTACACAGTGGAAAGTTTATTCATCATGTTTTTGTACGCGAACTTTCCTCATAGTCACGAAGTTCACCTAAAGGCACCGACACAAATGAAGAAAGAAAATATAGGCCTATAAATAGCGAAGCGCGTCATCAAGCCCTGACGCGTTTTCATTTCATAACTTGGCTATTTGTTGAAGCTGTGGCTTAATCACTGATTCCTGGCAACTTCTTTCACCCTATAACCACACAGAAAGCTGGCTTAATGTATGATACCAAACTTAAAACATTCAAGAAATGCAAAGACGTGAAAGCGTATACTCATAAAAAGACTGGGTGCGTTTTATTGCTCCTTGTTTTGTATCCTTTCAGTTATCATTTGTACTGAATTCTCTAAATAGTATGAGATGATGATCGCAACAAAGAGATCTGTGTAACAGCAATAAGAGCAGCCACACACGTTTTGAAGCGCACGGAACGACTGAGAAAAGCAATATTCAGGCGGTAACATAAGCACGCTTACCCTTGCAAGCATTCTCACATTCCTGCACGGATGCAAAGTTGTTGCCTGGTTGCGGACAATCTCCGTACATAAAATTCAAGCACGTCAGTTCGTCTTTATTGTAATACCATCTATCTGTTTGTGTGTCACAGTCGTCGCCTTCTGACGGCATCCTGAAGCAGCCTTGCGCTGCTGCTCGCACTGGAATAAATAATTTTACACATGTAAGGGGTGTTAACAGAGCTATTCGGTGGTGCTTAGTCAAGATGCTCAAAACAACTCGTTCACAATTATTCATCAATAGAAATTTGGTGCAAGTTGCTATTTACAGAAGCGAAATGCAATATACAACAATGCGAAGATGTCCGCCTTTTGACTAACGCATCATACAGTGAGAAATAACGTTGTTCTTCTTTTTTTTACAATCATTCAAGGAATAAAAATAATTTGTGTATACATGGTAGAGATAGTAAGCTTGCACGTTAATAAATACAATTTCTACTGTGTGTGTTACTATTACGCCACAGTGACGTCCTGAGGACAGAACACACCTTTGCTTAAAACCTGCCACATGTGTGCCGAGCATTTTGGTGTCAAATCGTTGTGCGTTTGGCTACCTGATGGATTGCGACGCGCTTAGATAATATTCATATGTACCCATACACAGATTGACGAATTAATTAGGCCCAATCGTGTGGTGTGCTTCGAATGCGTTAACTCATATTGCTATCTACTTGAGTGTGTCTTATTGGTCCACTGCACTCATAACGGCGATAAAACTATGGTTACCCACTACTTCAGCAAAAAAATATCAATAACTATAGGATATCCTGCGCATAGCCACATGCGCCGATAAGTATTTTTAAATATTTAAGGTGTGGTTTGCTGGATGGTGAAACAGCTAGATGGGCTACCTTCAACCGGTCTCATCCTTGCTTTTGCAAATAGATTGTGGATGGTAACCTCGCTATTGGCATGTTCGTGAGCGACAGCACTGCGAGTCATAAAGGTATACCCAGATCTAGTTTCCGCTCTTTGTGCTAATGCTTTCCTGTTTAACAAGCACGACACATACTTCTTCCCTAGCAAGATGACTTAAAGGCCGCTCTTTGGAGGGCATCACCCCGCTTATTTAGCAGTGAAAGCTGTTATGATTTCCCTACTCAGGTCACGCGCAGTTGTCAGCTGCTGCTGCCACCGCTTCCGCCACCGCCACTGCCAGTGGCCATAACCACATCATGCAAAAATAGAAAAAAATATGTCAGAGTGGGGCTTAAACCCTGGTTCGCTGAGTGCCCGCCCGATATTCTACTACTGAGCCACATCAGCGCCTGGGACTTTCTGGCAAACGTGTCTTAGGCAGGCTTGATGTCGGGGAAGTAATTGCGTTATTATCCCTTATAAAGTGTTTAAAAAAACGACGGAACAACCAGTCGTTACACAATGCGAATAGTGTAACGAGTGGGTCGTCTAATGCTCCAACCCGATAAAAAAGCTTGTTCTTGTTCTGTTATGAACTGTGGCGCATACCCACTTCAGTCATTATTTCTCCTCGTCGTCAGCCACTGCATGAACAATTGGAACAAAATTCCTTCCAAGCGTTTAGCGGATACCACACTTCTCAGAAGAATGACGAAACATAGCATAGCGAATGGCGACCTACTAAACCCCCCAAAATTCACTATTAATGCCCTAGTAGGCATGAAGTAGGTGGACTTGCACTAGTTAATGATTGTTTCGAAAGGTTCTTAAAGGCTGCTCTTCTAGCTTTCACTGTGACTGTGCTGCGCCTTCAGCGCAGGCCTGGCGTTTTGTCGTCGTCCAGCATGGTTAGAGAAGCCCAAAGGCATCCGCAACATTGTGTCAATATGGCTTCCGTAGTACAGATTACAGTTCATAGTCGCATGTGCTCGCTCTCTTATTGTTACAGGTTTAAACAGATCGCTGCTAGTTTCAACGCGACCGCATTAGAGAGCTGCAGTGTCGGCGTCGGGGAGGGCATCATTAAGTGTGAGGTAAAATCATCATCCTGTGTATATCTTATTTATCTGTTGCAATAAATGGCCATTTGAGAGCCACAACTGTGCCATGTTTTAGGGGCGAAGCTCCTTATAGCGGCACCCGTTCGTCCCGTGTGATATGTAACCAGTCTCACGCTTTGACCTGCAAGGTATAACATTTGACTTCCAAGGTGGTGCCGGTGAGAGATTTCTTCTGTGCGTTGTTTAACAATAAAAAATAGTGCTCAATGTACATGCCAATGGCTGCTAATGGGGAATGAGAGACAGGAGCATTCGGTTTTCAGTCAACGCGCACGCTGCGATCCTCATAAGCAGCCATTGGCATGTACATTGAGCACTATCGGACAAGAAAGGGTTGCTACATTATACTCGCTGCGTGTAACCTCCTTAGTTTTAGAAAGGTTTAGCAAGCGTTGAGGCGCAGGGTCATGAATACAATGCACTAGTATATACCATGAATGAATTCGAGGTGGTTAAAGGGGGAAAGCAGATACGAACCGCAAGCCGTAAGAAATTAAAAGCTGAATCCTCCTGTCTCTTATTTCACATTAGCAGCCACTGGCATGTACATTGAGCACTATCTGACAGGAAAAGGTTGCTACGTTATACTCGCTGGGCGTAACCTCCTTGGTTTTAGAAAGGTTGAGCGAGCATTAGGCCGCAGTGCCATGAATACAGTGAACTAGTATATACCATGAACTCAAGGTGGTTGAAGGTGGGAAGTAGACCCGAAGCGCAAGCCGTAAGAAAGTGTGCATGTGCAACCTTTCGTTTAGTCCTTGGAATGTCCACTGAACGGCGGTGCTTCTATATGGGGAATATATGATAAAAAGATGCGAGATGGTGGGACTTGGAGTGTTGAATAGATGGACGAACGGACGCACAGACAGATGCATGGATGGACGCATGAACGGACGCAGGGGCGGATGCATGAACGAACGCAGGGACGGGCGCACGAACAGACGAATGGACGGTCACACAGATGAATGCATGGACGGACGAATGCTTCGCCCCACTCTCCATCATTCACTCCGTGGTTATGCTGCAAACTTTTTTTTTCTACATCCAGTATTACTTCATGAAAAATAATTTTGATATGTGAATTCAAATTTTGAGATGTGAGATTATGCAAATGTGAATTACGACGGGATAAACATAGAGAAATGTTGAAAAAATGCATAGTTATGGATGCAGCTGCGGTGTCTGTGAGTACATACCTTTAACCGGTGCCAAGTACAAGACATTGTAGCAGGCAAAGAAAGGTAGCAGGGGGATTCTCATTCCTACCCAATGCTGTTTAGAATGCCTTTCCGAAAGAAGCAATCTTGCATCACTGCCGGGTTCGCTTCCTCCGTCAGTGTGCGCTGCGAGACAACGGCATGTCTCCAGCACGGTTCGCAATACCTGCCTTAAGGACCTAAAAAAGGAAAGCATTTGCAAAGACTGTCAAGCTAGCCGACACAGGCATGACAGCCTTTCATGAGGAAGATTTATGTGGTGCCTCAATACATGAGAAAACAGGGGTAGTATTCATTGGTTGAATATTCTTGTTTGCGAAATGTTAGCATGTTTAGGTAGGGTAAAGGTACAAGGAAAAAAAAAGCTCTGATAATGTTCTGTTTGAGAAAGCATCGAAAAAAGTTAAACTTGGTTCAATGACTGTAGAACGTGAGCGGAGAGCGTAGCTGCCAAGCAAGTGCAAGTACCCGAAAAAACCACATTTAGTTCCTCAAGCTTTTCTTTTTGCTTGCTCACTTTTTCCTTGATATTTTTTGACATAGCCCGCTTTCTTTTGTTTTTCTTTTCGTTCTGCGTATCTAAGTATTGTATTTTTTCATCCTCTTCTGTCATCAAACCCTCACACCAATAATTCTGCCCCGGAACTCTGCTTCCCCTTTTTGCTGTTTTTACTCTATATGACTGTTCTATTCTTGACCCCTTCACCTACTCTGTATCCTCATCCTCAAGCTAACATCAGTCTCCTCCATCCAGTTTCCTTTCCTATCCCTTGCTAAACTATATTACACAATAATATACCACGACTTGCCCTCAATCGTTGTTTCAACATAACTTTCAAATTCTTATTCTTCTCCGTAACTCACCTGTTCATTCGATTGCTCTGCTTGGCTATGCTACGCTAACAGATTGGTGGCACATAGGCACTTTACCCTCTCTGTTCTTTTCCTTCCTTCTCACCCACACTCTATGCCAGTCTCCTTTAATTCGCTTTCCTGCTTCCTTGCTAGGTTATACAATCAATGGCTGTGGTATTCTGGGAGCTGTATGACAATTACGCGCAGTCTGCATCGCACACCAACCGAGTTTAGTGCGGACCTAAAGAGCCTTACCGCCAGTTTAAACAGCTTTGCTGAAAGACATACTTGATCCAGTGCGGCAGAACCCAATAAACTACGTCATTTCTGTTATGCGCCGAACATCATCCCAACTGTTATAGCTCCGAAATTGAAAAGCGTGGATACTTGGTTCGTTCTTACCTTGTCAGTGCTCACAAAACAGCACGTGAACCAAGAAGAGACGGAGGAAACACATCATCGCTTCTTTTCGTGTACTTTACCACGTGTACGTTTAGTCCCTTTTATGTCACTTAACGTAAGAAATTTCGCCCTATCAGTGCTAAAACATGTGAAACAGATTGCTTGAAAACGTGCATTAGGATTTCTTGAGCCGCGGGCGTGAATGATATTAACTAAACGAACCTAAAACATAAACAAGTGTGTGCTGAATGCTTCTCATTGTTATTTTCGATGTATACTTGTGAAGCATTATGCCATTAGAAAGTAGGCAAGCTCATTTCAGTTTTTAAATGATGTAACATGAAATGGACAATAAATTACCATCAAGTATTTTTAACAAAAGTTGCCAGAAAAATCATGAAACCTGCCATATACTCCCATATGAACTTCTTAGACTCATTGCGCTTTTTTTTTAGTCTAACCAACGTGTATTTTGCAAGGGTTGTTTCATCAAAACATAGCTGGCATTTTTCTTTACGACATTCATTCTAAACTCGACTTCACACTTACGCAATTCACACTTACGCAATTCACACATTCACACTTACGCAATAACATTCACACTTACGCATTATTAACATTCACACTTACGCAATATTCCTGAATTTGTCAAACCAAAGAGATTTATTATTGTCCTTGGTAAACACTCAAGTATAAAATTATCTCTTGTAAATCTAGATCATAATGTTCTTGGATTGGTAAAATCTTTCTTGAATAATCACTTCCTATTTGTGTTTGTTATTAAGTTCTCTTTGAACCTACTACATGTAATGTCAGGTGTCCCACAAGGGTCTGTCTTAGGACCTCTCCTTTTATTTAGATTAAAAAGTTACCGCGGCATGTTTCATGTAACTTTCACATGTGTGAGGATGATTGGGCAATATACCATTCAGCAGCCAACCTCCATTAAAAACGCTAACTCAGCATGAGCTTAACAACATGCCAACATGCCCCGCCGCGGTGGTATAGTGGCTAAGGTACTCGGCTGCTGACCCGCAGGTCACGGGTTCGAATTCCGGCTGCGGGGGCTGCATTTTCGATGGAGGCGGAAATGTATAGGCCCGTGTGCTCAGATTTGGGTGCACGTTAAAGAACCCCAGGTGGTCGAAATTTCCGGAGCCCTCCACTACGGCATCTCTCATAATGATATGGTGGTTTTGGGACGCTAAACCCCACATATCAATCAATCAATCAATCAACATATCAACATAATGTGATCATTGGCTAATAAACACAAATCCAAATAAATGTAAGCATGTTTCCTGTTCCCGCCCCCATAACCCATACAGGTTTACGCATTAAGTCGTGAATGTTGCAGTAGAGTAAGGTCAGTCATTCAAATACCTCGGCATCACGCTGTCTCATGAGCTGTGTTGGCGTAATTAAAGTACTAACATTATTTCGGCTGCCAATAGGTCCCTGAAATTTCTTAAAAGACACTTGCGCAACACTTCAGCACATGTAAAATGATTGCCTATGAATCATTCGTCAGAACAAATCTTGATTATGAATTTTCCATGTCGAGTTCTAATCAAACATATCTCATAAGTGTACTCGAATCACTTTAAGATAGTTTTACCAGGTTCATTCACTTTACTTATTACTTAATACTTAATGCTTAATCATTTAAGCACAATCACTTATTATCAGCACCCAATTTTTCCCGGCTATTTGCCAAGAGGCAAATAGCTGTGCAATTGAATATATTCAAGGCACGGTTAGAAAACTGATACAGAAACTCCGCGATCGCTATATAACTGATTAATAAGACAGTTGCTCAGCAGCCTAATTTGGTGCGGAATGTAGATTATGATGATGTGAGTAATGGAGCTTGGTGATGGCATGGGGCAACTCTGTCTCACGTTATAGCCGTGGGGCCGGACGAGCTTACTAATAAAATGCTAAGAAAGTTTCATTGTGAATCGGTAGAAAAGCTTACACAATTAGTAATTAGAAACTGAACGGCCGATATGATCTCATAATGGAAGCATACAATGTTTATATTTTTCTATATGGCAGGCAGGTAGCCAGTAAACGAACTCTGGGTAATGAACATTCACCCCTATTGGTCATGATCATCATCATCATCAACATCAGCCTGACTACGCCCACTGCAGGACAAAGGCATCTCCGATGTTGCGCCAGTTAACGCGGTCCTGTGCTTGCTGCTGCCAATTTATACCCGCAAACTTCTTAATCTCATCTGCCCACCTAACCTTCTGTCTCCCCCTAACCCGCTTCCCTTCTCTGGGAATCCAGTTTGTTACCCTTAATGACCAGCGGTTATCCTGTCTACGCGCTACATGCCCGGCCCATGTCCATTTCCTCTTCTTTATTACAACTATGATATCCTTAACCCCCGTTTGTCCCCTAATCCACTCTTCTCTCTTCTTGTCTCTTAAGGTTACACCTACCATTTTTCTTTCCATTGCTCGCTGTGTCATCCTCAATTTAAGCTGAACCCTCTTTGTAAGTCTCCAGGTTTCTGCTCCATAGCTAAGTACCGGCAAGATACAGCTGTTATATACCTTCCTCTTCAGGGATAGTGGCAATCTACCTGTCATAATTTGAGAGTGCTTGCCGAATGTGCTCCACCCAATTTTTATTCTTCTAGTTACTTCAATCTCGTGGTTCGGCTCTGCGGTTATTACCTGCCCTAAGTAGACATAGTCTTTTACAATTTCAAGTGCACTAATACCTATCTCGAAGCGCTGCTCCTTTCCGAGGTTGTTGTACATTACTTTCGTTTTCTGCAGATTAATTTTAAGACCCACCTTTCTGCTCTCCCTGTCTAACTCCGTAATCATGAGTTGCTATTCGTCCCCTGAGTTACTCAGCAATGCAATGTCATCGGCGAAGCGCCGGTTACTAAGGTATTCTTCATTAACTCTTATTACTAACTGTTCGCATTCTGGGCTTCTGAAAACCTCCTGTAAGCACGCGGTAAATAACATTGGGCAGATTGTGTCCCCCTGCCTTACACCCTTCTTGATTGGTATTCTGTTGCTTTTTTTATGAAGCACTATGGTAGCAGTTGATCCCCTGTAGATTTCTTCCAGGATGTTTATATATACTTCATCGACGCCCTGATTCCGCAGTGTCTGCTTGACAGCTGATATTTCTACTGAATCAAACGCCTTCTCGTAATCTATGAAGGCTATGTACAGTGGTTGGTTATATTCTGTGCATTTCTCTATTGCCTGATTGATAGTATGAATGTGGTCGATTGTTGAGTAGCCAGTTCGAAATCCTGCTTGTTCCTTTGGTTGATTGAATTCTAATGTTTTCTTTACTCTCTTAGCAATTACCTTTGTAGATAGCTTGTATACTACAGAGAGCAAGCTAATCGGCTTGTAATTCTTCGAGTGCTTGTCATCTCCTTTCTTATGTATTAAGATGATGTTAGCGTTCTTCCAAGACTCTGGTACCCTTCCCGTCAGGAGACACCTCGTAAACAGGGTGACTAGTTCTTCTGACACAATTTATCCTCCATCTTTCAGCAGATCTGATGTTACCTGATCCTCACCAGCATCTTTGCCTCTTTCCATGTTCTCCAAAGCTTTTCTGACCTCTTCTATCATTACTCGGGGGGTGTCAACTGGGTTACTGCTAGTTCTTATAGTATTAAAGTCGTGGTTGTCCCGGCTACTGTACAGATCTCTGTAAAACTCCTCCGCTATTTTACCTATCCTATTCATATTGGTGGTTATTTTGCCTTCTTTGTTCCTTAAAGCATACATCCGATTTTCGCCTATCCTAAGTTTCCTCTTCACTGCATTGACGTTTCCTCCGTTTTTCAGAGCGTGTTCAATTCTCTCCATGTTATACCTTCTTACATCGGATA